CTGGGAGATATGTGAGCCTTAGAAGCCCTGGGGTGCTGGTTGGCTCCTGAACTGAGTTTCAGTTGCCCTGGCAGGAGGGCAGGAGGTGAGCCCGAGGCCTCTCACTCTGGGAGTTGGATGGCTGATCTTATGTAAGGCCAAGCACATCCTGCAAATCCTGCTTTACAAAAGGGTGTATTAGAAAGAAAGGAAAAAAAAAACATTCCTCAAGGCAAGGAAGTAAGGAAAGTCAATTTTTTTGGAAGCGGGGGAAAAATAACATATTCAAAGTAAGGGTTTAGCTTAAAGCTATTCTGGCATGAGAGTGACAACAAACTCCTGGCAGAAAATCACAGCTCCTCCCGGAAAGAGAAGTTGTGTTTTGAATGAATCCAAAAAAGGCCTCCAGAGCCTTCTGGATCAAGATACTGGACCCAAACACCTCCCTTCCATGGTCTCATTTAAATAACCAGAAAGGTTTTAAAGGAAAGAAGCCATAATCATAGTTCTATTTATTGACATTACTATATGCTAGGAATTCAGAGGTGACTATGGAGTTGTCTCCTCTTTTATGGACCTTACTTTCTATTTGACATAGTTGGGGAGCTGGGTTGAGGGTGGTGTTAGTCTGTTGCAATTAGCCAGGAGAGGAAATTAAGAAAGCAGTGAAGGGTGGGTAACATTTTTAGCTGAGGACAGTCCTGTTCAGTTGGCTTTTAATTGCAGGCTCGTTGAGTTGTCACTGGAGGGAATTGATCTTATGGAAGATGGACTTAACTCATGCCTCTTCAGAAAGGACAAGTGAAACTGGAGAAAGACAGTCAAATCTGTGCAGACATTAAAGTCCACGTGAACATGCTATATCTCTGAGCCAAAGATAGGACAAGTAGGCAGCACTACTTGAGGACAGAGGAGTGGTTTTTAAGGTTCTCCAAGAATGAATCTCAGGGAACCAAGATGGCCAGTTGTCAAACTGTGACTTTACTCTTTGGACGGTGTACCCACCAAGGGTATTGGCCGTTTATAGGTTTTCATTTCTCTTTAATACATGTCAGGTGATGAGGATGTGGGCATAAGCGTTTGACACCTTGTTGAGGTGACTTTGGGTACCTGCCTAAAAGCACGGGCACAGCTACAGCTGTGTCATATATCTTGCTGCCCATCCCGCTCCCCGGCTCCGTGATCACGGTAGAGTGGTTCCTTATTGAGGTGTCCATCTCCTCTGTGGCGTCGTAACCAAACAAAAGACTGGAGTGTATTAGCTTGGCTTTGTTCTTTTCCATCCTTCTCTTCGAATGATGATGACTGATAGTGGACTCAGTTACATTTGCAGATGATTTACAAGTAGGGCTCTTAGTACAAACTTTGTAATCTCCGCTGTGTGATCTAGAGAAGAAAGTTACATTCTTTCCAAATTGTTTTGATGTATTTATGTGGGAAAATGGTGTACATTTGAATATGTATTTCCTCTCTGAATCATCATGGCTAGAGATGAATATTTGTAGACATGGAATGAGTCTTCTTTATTTGAACTGTATGGTCCCCTAAATTCTCCCCAGCTTTTTAAAGTCATCACTGGAGTGCTACCTCCAGAGTGTCCCAAAGCATCTACCACTGCCTGTTCTTCAGACACTGTGAGTTTCCAATTTGGAGAAGGCTGCTGGCTGTTGAGGCATTCTCTGGCACATCTCTGGCTGGCTGATGTGGGCTTAGCACCCAATACTTGGCAGACAGTAACTAACCACAATCACGTCCATTTCTGGAACACTCATGGAGGATTTTACACCTATGCTAGTGGCATACGTTATTTCATTTAGTTTTCCCAACAATCATAATTATATTTTATCACCTGTATTAAAAAGGAAACTGTC